ATCCTGCTGGCCTTCTCTCCATCATATCTGAATCTCTTTTTGAAGTACTCCTCCTTCTGGGGATCAGTGAACCCTCTGACCTCTGTTACCATGCCGACACAATCAGCAGGGATCTGATTGGCTGCTGCAGGTCGTGTGGTTATCCAGAGTAGAGCAGAGGGAAGCAGTTTCCCCCTGATGAGGTTTGTCAGCAGAACATCCAGTGAGGTGGACTTTGAAGGGTCAGTAAACATTTTAGTCTTGTGAAAGTCCAGACTAAGTCGACTTTCATCCAGACCATCAAAGATGAACAGAACCTGGAACGTTTCAAAGTTGCTGATTCCTCTGGTTTTAGTGAAGTGGTCATGAATCAGTTCCACCAAGCTGAACTTTTTCTTTTTCAAGTTATTCAGCTCTCTGAAAGTGAATGGAAATATGAACTGGATGTTCTGGTTGGTTCTGCCTTCAGCCCAGTCCAGAGTGAACTTCTGTGTTAACAGTGTTTTCCCAATGCCAGCCACTCCCATGGTCATCACTGTTCTGATTGGTTGATCACTTCCAGGTTTAAAGATGTCTTCTCTCCTGATTGTTTCTTGTTTCCTGGATGCTGTTTCAATCCGTCTGACCTCATGTTCCTGGTTGACCTCTCTAGTTAACCCCTCTGTGATGTGGAGCTCTGTGTAGATCTGGTTCAGAAAGGTTTGATTTCCATGTTCATTGAGGCCTTCACAGAAACTTTGGAACATCGTCTTCACAGACTGTTTATGGTCATGTTGACACCGAATATGAAAATCTGAAAAAAAAGAGACACACACAAGAGGAGACAGTTCATCTAAATACAGGGTATACAATTATTTTTGATGTTCTCGGAGGGGATTTAGATACAAACTTTTATGAAGAAGAAAAAAATCAATAACTTAAAAACTCTTATCTAAAAATGAAAGTTAGCACAACTTCGGTTTCTGAGGAAGGAGAAATTTTGAGATTTAATTTGTGATTTTCTGCTAACTTAATCTTGCGCTCACTGAGGGAATGGATAAAAAAAGTAAATAAATACATAAGCTAAAACTTCAAGGAAAAAAAAACTAAAAACCAGGTACTTGCTGCACAAACATGATTAAATTAGTTTTTCTCATTAAAGCGCTTTCTTATTTTTCTCCTGTTGAAGGTTTCAGTTAATCAGACTTTTCCCACAGAGCGACCTCTGACCTTCGAGTATGAGAGTTTTATCAGCGTGTTTAATTTAAAATGGCGTCCTCTTTGAGTAATGTCTGCAGGCTGGAAACAAAGAACCAAACTGGCCACTTTATTAGGTACACCTGTCCAGTTACTAGTTTATGGTTGAAGGTGAAAGAAAGGCAGCAGGAGCTGAGATGAAATCATGTTACAGGCAAACCAACAACACATGCAACCATGAAGCAATTCACGATTAGTTGCAACAATAGACTGAGAAACATTTAGTTCAGATGTAAAAATAGCAATAAATATACTGCAGGATGTTTAGTTTTTTTTTTGTGAAAAATTTAAACCAAATTTTGTCACTTGGTAGTCGGCATGTTTATGCTGCAATCTATTCCTGGTAAATGACGTAGGCTAGGTGCTAAGTACAAACTTCTCCCATCCACATCAGTAATTTTTGCGTATTGAGTGACATTCAGCCTTTTCACTTTGAAGTGTTGAAATCAGTGATTTCTCTACTGTAATCTAAGGTGTTACTATTTCAAATCAAGTAATCGGATTAAAGTTACTTATCTAAATCAATGTGCGTTACCATTTTCTTTTGTAGTTTAATTTTATTTCCTCTGTGCATCTTGGAGAACAACCGCTGCTTCTATGCGACAGCAGCAGCGACAGAAATGTAAACAATGGAGGGAGATGTGCATTTTGTTGGTGGAAAAACAGAAACTAATTTGAGCTTCTGTCGCCAAGTCAGATTTGGGCTTGTTTTTTTTCTAAAGTTGCTTGTAAACTTAATGAGTCGCCGGTTGTGGTTTTTTGGGCTTGTTTTTGAAAGTGAAGTTACTCATTTGGGCTTGGAAATAAGCAGAGACAGCTCCATTTAGAGCTTTTCAGACAGTAGAGGAACACACAATAAATGCAAACGTTTTTTTTTGTTTTGTTTTCGCACTGTTGTAACAATTAAACAATCTCCCCTTCAGTTCAACATTGTCGATGTTACCATTATAAAATAGCTTACGATTACACGTATTGGCAAATTTCCACAAGTGGTGGAGCGTTGTTGTTAGCAGCTGCTGAAAGTAACTTGAGTTACTTTTAATATAACTAAGTTACTTTCTAAATCAAGTAATCCAACTAAATTACTTTTTCAAGGAATGATTAGTAATCTGATTAGTTACTTTTTCATAACTGCTTGAAATAGTAGAAAATCCAGAAAATGATGTGTAAATGACGAGGACAGAAACTTGTTTTTTTCTACTGCTTTGAGAGTTTATGCTGCAAAGAGCCTCAATTTCTAACTCAAGCTGTTTGCTGTAACCATCTGATCAAAATATTTTTTCGATATTAAAATTGTGAGTTAAACACTGAAAGATGATTAATTGTAAATTAAAACAAATTTATCATCTTCCGCTTTTTTCATGTATTTTTTAACAGCACTTTAGCTATGCTGATGGTGTTTTCCCCTTTAATATATTAAACAGGTTTACGGTGGTTAGCATTATGAAAATGGTTTTTGTTTTTCATTATTATTCTAAAAAGCATCCAGGACACCGTGGCATGAAGATCACAGTTAAAAAACACCAAAGGTGATAACCAAAGACACTTCAGACATATGCAGTATGCAATTATTTAGCTCCAAACTCCATCAATACATTGTGTTTATTCATTTTAATTGTATTTATTTTTTTGTTGTTTTTAAGACTATATTGTTGTGGGTTTAAATAGCATTATTAATGAGGAGATCTGAACGCTATAGATATGTTGGTTTTACATATCAGCAGAACATAGTGACATAGAGACATATGTCACTATGTTTATGACAGTGACATAAATCATGTGGTGTGAATTCAGGCAAAGTCAGTAATTTGATCAACACATCAAGCGGGAAGAGATACGGGTCGGTTTCTAAGCTAGCTGTTTCAGGCTTCTGTAAATACCGCCGGTGTTATAGATTAACTGGTGGCTAAATTAACGCAGATGTTTCTAAATAGGTGGCTGTGTTGATGCCTGTTAAAAAATGCTACTTGTGTGACAAAACCGTTTGCAAAACTTTCCTTTAAATCCCATTTGAAGCAAATATGTTTAATGTTGCATGTGAAAATTATGTTTCAAAACAAGTTTCAACAGAGCAGCGTTCAGTGCGCTTAGAAAACACCACATTTGAGCATAACCACATCAATGAGTACAATCCCATTCACATTCAAGTTCGCCAGAATAAATTAATTCCAACTCATGAATAGCCGCAATGTAAACCGGATAGATTTGTAAATGTAATATAAAATGGATAGATTTTCTGACCAGCACTGACCAGAAAGACATTGGAATTGACTCTCAAGTACCTGTAGTGTTTGTTTTTGGCTCAGGTCCTGCAATGCGACCACACTGTTTCTCAACTTTTTTAAGCGACACGATCCTCAGTAAGCGTCGCTAAACAGTGAAGTTTGTGTCGTATTTAATCAAATTTAAATCACATATCTGATGGTGTTGCTTTTGGTGTTTACTTGTCCAAATAGAAAGGAATATCAAGCAATATCAATAAGTTTTACTGCAATAAAATCTCACCTAAATGATATAAAGTTAACAGCCAATGTTGTTGTCAGTGGTGACATCTATACTGACAAGCCAAAATTATAATAATAAACGTTCCTAAATTACTGTCAGATACCACAAACAGATTATGAGCCATATCTACAGTATTCATCTGCGTGTTCTCTACTGGGAAACAGTTTGCAAGCTGTTGACGAAGGGAAATAAAATTAAAAACAGAACAAGCCGCATTAAGATTAACTAGTGACAGCCAAACAGGGTCCTCAATGCAGGTATTTGTAAAAAATTAGGTGGCTATGTTGTTTTTTGTTCAAAACCCCACAAACGTAAATAAACAAATTAGAAAATGACTATGATCTCTTCAAAACAATAATAATTCTTTGTATGTGAAGGAATATTTAAGATTGTATTAAAAGGCCACCAAAATATACCACACTTCAAGAGGAGACTGTGCTGAACTGTTAGAATTTGTACTACCGCCCAGCATTGTTAGAGTAATGACAATTATTTTACATCTTCTTGGTCTTATATTGACTGACATGCTCTGCAAACACATCAATAAATGTAAACAGTTCTGATATCACAAAATCTAATTCTTTGCTCACTTAATGGAAGCCACATTTCATTTGCATCTTAAATTGGCTGCAGAAGCAAAGCTGTACAATTTAGTAATTTCACAATATCCTTACAGTTAAAAGTTTGCCTGGCAAACCTGTGAAACGATATTACCACCAAAATGTTGGCAGCAAGTAAATATAATTTTTTAGACAATAAAATAAAGTGGTCCAAAATGTGAAATAGTCATCCATTTCACATTTTGGACCACTTTATTCCAAATAGTGTAGCGAGTGCTACACTATTTACGAACGGCCAGCGGCCGCTGAGTTCTGTAAGTGCTGTTTTATCCACTAAACTATATCAGCTGACTGAACTCCAATGTTCCCACCTGTCATTGATTCTCATCTAACGGACACCCCGCGCTTTAAGAAGCAAACCTGGATTAACTGGTGACACTTTCAGAATCTTAGTTTGAGTGAAGATTTTAACCTGTTTCTGATGTAAAAGTATATATGACAATTGTTTTTTCAGTGATGTCTCATATGGTTGAGTATTAGAGTCACTTGATGAGAAGAATAAAGATGTTTAGTTAAATTACGAGAAAAAATATCAACAATAATGAAGAAATGACACTGAAACATAGATCTGTGGTAGCCATGTCTTCTGTAAGTGAACTAGGAGATAAACTATAGCACATTACAAAAACAGTGTTTAAAAAGATTTCGCCATAGTTTCTGTGGATATCTATTTGAAATATCATACAATATGAGGGAGATGTAAATGTAACCGCTGTCATCTACCTTTACCATCATCAACAAGTTTATAATCACCATCTCTAAACTTTATTATCTCTGTCACCAAATGTTGGAATAAAAGACACAGCAAGTCTGTGATAATAAATTAGTAATAAATGATATAAAACAACAAATAAAAACAACATAGCAAGTTGATCTTTTTAAACATTTTATTTTTAATCCCATGGCTCTTCAACATTTATGTCGGCTTTCAGGGATTAATTTTAGCTTTGAGATCTGTTCATGCCATCTCGAGATCTATTTTGATCTTCCTTTGACAAGTTTCAACCTCTGAAGCAACACATAAGTCAGGACAAGTTCTGCATATTTTACATGTTTTGGTGATTTTGCAGATTAATGTAAAAAAAAAAAAAAGGCAACATACCATGTTAGACCAATAAAAGTCTAATTAGTTATTCCCGAGATCATAATGGGTGTCTTAAGGAATCGGATAGTATTTTTGCAAAGATTTATAGTTTTTTAAGCTTATCGCATTGTTCATTTCCTGGTTCGGTAAAGGGGTCCTAAAAAGCCACGCCCACAGAAACATCTGTCTTTCCCAGCTGCCACCACCAGTTAATTTAGCCACCAGTTAATCTGTAACACCGTCTATGAGCCCCAACCAGGTGTGCTACGTTCACAGACGAATTAACTTGATTCCATCAAGTAGAAACTATGATTAAACTGAGAAAGACAACTTTCTCAGTTTATTGTTTATTCTCAGTGGCTAAAACAACTTTAGCCACTCAGTTCAATACTTCCGATCTACATCATGGCGTTTCGAATGATTAAGTGTCGTAGTTGTCATGAATGCTGTTTTAACCTAAACAATGTATTATTATCTGGAAGCAATCTGGCTAATGACTGAAGGCTTTTTGTGTTGATGTCTAAGTGTCAAATAAATGCAAATCAGTCTGAAAAATAACAATACTAATGCATGTGTGTTGATAACTAAAGTGAATAAAACAAGTAAAGTCTTAATGATTTTGTTGGCTGATTTTATGCTTCATGTGTCAGTACTAATTTTGATTCATCGGTTAGGATTTTCCATTCTTAACAATAACTATAGAGAAAAGATCCGACATAGCACCTTCAGTAAAATGCTTAGCTCCCCATTAGCACCTGTAGAAAAAGAAATTCTGGAGCTGCCACTGCATATCAGCCTGATGTATAGATACATGTTCTCCTGCTCTGAGGAACATACTAAACATGTTAAACATGCTAAATGCCACAAGGTGGCACCAAGAATCGGAGATCGGTTCTGGAAGAAGGGATCTTAGCAGGAAATGTTTCATCTGCATGAACCAGTTTATTGTGAGGTTATGAATTTGTTCAGTTTTTATATGTCAAATGAACCTTAAGGCAGTTCTAGTTCAGAGTTTAATCCAAGACAGTAGAGGCTGTAAAAGCAACTTTACTTAACTGTGTGTCTCACCTTTGGCAGGAGACAAAGAGGACAAACCCAGCAGATTGGACAGAGTGGGATCTCTGTGGTGAAGACGTTTGATCATGATTTCACTGACTCTCGGTCCTTTCATCCTCACGGCATCAATGGTCTCCCGGGCCTTTTTTGATGTGATTGGGTTCCCTTCAAGTATCGCCTGTTTCTCCAAAAGATTAAAGACACCATCTGATTCCAGGTCATCGAGGAGCTGATTCAGGATTTCCTCAGACACTCTCTTCACAAACTCAGAGCGAACATCTAAAAGTTTTTTCTCTGCAGGGAGAAATCAGAGACAGAAACAGGATTCAATCAAACTGATATTTGAGAGAAAAATGTGACTGTAAATGTGACATTTATCTTTTCCTGTGTTTATTGCCACTAGGGGGCGTATTTCATTTGAGTTCTGAGTACAGTAGGAAGGGGATGGTGTTATTTAAGGCTCAGAGTGATTCTGTTGCTAATGGTAAGAGGCTTTCTACTTTGCTTGGTTTGGATTTAAGTGGTTCTAAATAGAAAAGGCAAGACAATGGATATAGGACTGAAAATAAATGACTCTACGATTATAAGCCAAATCAGCGTAACGAATCTTCATTGAGCGCACGTAAAACCAACTCCCACCAGGAACATCAGCAACCAGTAAGTAAATATAGGATTTTAGCCGCTATAATCACTAAGATCAACTATTGTTGCTCCATCCAGAGATTCAGAGTCTGTTGATCCTCAGGTCTAAACCTGCTGTTGTGTTTCTGCCTCATATCTGAGTGACGACCACTGATTCTGTCTACATGAGACCAAATGAAGCTTCTGGTTCATCACTTTCTTTCCTCACTGCAGGAAGAACAATAAAAGAAACACCTTCTAAATATGGAGCTGCACTATTTTAGGAAAACAGGAAATTATGATATTATTGGTGAATATTGTGACGAATTTAATCGCTGTCATCTACCTTTACCATCATCAACAAGTTTATAATCACCATCTCTAAACTTTATTATCTCTGTCACCAAATGTTGGAATAAAAGACACAGCAAGTCTGAGATAATAAATTATTAATAAATGATGTTTATTAATAATTGGCCTGGCCTGGGCTGGCCTGTTCTTCACTTCGGTTCCTTTTAGTTTCCATCTGAGTTCAGTTTTTACCTTCAGGTTTCACAGAAACTCACAATGTTTCCACCAGAGCTTCACTGAACAGGAAGCATGAAAACAGTAAAGAAACACTGAGGCTGAGCTTCATCACATGGCAGCAACACAGGCTGTGATTGGTCAGTTTGATCCTTTAAGATTCTTCATTTCTGCTTCTGATCACTTACCGAAATCCACTTCCTGCTGCTGCGCCATCTTTTACCTGGAAAACATGAAGATTTATTATGTTTCAGACTTTATTTCATGAATAGTTTATTTTGGTCTTTTTGGAAGATGGAACTGAATCTAAAAATTACTGGATTAGAGATGGAAAATACTCATTTAAATCTCTTGATAATCATCAACACACCATCAAAAAAACATTTCTTTCATTCTTAAAACTAAAAGATGTTTTTATGAAACTTGACTTGATCCTTGCAGAAAATCTGAAATAAACACCAACTTACCAAATGTTTATATGTTCCTGTTAAGGATCGTCAGTCATTTTAGGATAAGATTTCCTTCAGGCTGAAATGAAAACATCTTTAAATCCTGTTTGTTGCCGTAGGACAGTATTGTGTTGCTGCTACTACTACCATCAGCTGATTAAAGCTCCTCCAGAAATGTGTCTGGGCTCCTGCTCAGGTATTTGGTTTTCAGGTGACCAGTTGTCCTCACTGTCTCTGCCGTCTTCCTCTGAGTGATGATGAGCAGCAGCAGCAAAAATAAAGACACAAAAGGGGGGATGAATCTGGACTGACAGAGTTTCATCATGTTGAAACAAACCAAGTCCTGATTGTTTTCACTGAAGCTGCTGTCTGGGACCAAACTGGAGAACTCAGCAGATTTTAAAAGGGGCCAAAAACTCTACAACCCTAAAGGTAACCCAGTCTAAACAGCATAATGTACGTAGATATTTGTAACTTGGTATGCAAAGCCTTCAAGACAGGAAATAAATTATTGGAGGTTGGGTCAAAGGTCTTTTTTGACATGTCACATAAACTGAACTTTGACAAACAGTTCTATACAGTATGCCTTACAAACCTTGGAGGATTAAAAGTTATCAAAATGTTGAATTTTTTGATCCAGACCTCAAAGTTTGATGTCTCGCCAATAAAAATATCTCAGAGTCAAAGAGTCTGACTATTGTTAAACAATAGTCAAACAATTTTGGATTTAAAGAACCTGACAATCCCACGTGTGTAAGGCTCTCTCGGGAAACAACCGGGACGTGACTTTTTTTTTTCTTTTAATTGTCCGTTAAAGGAGACAGCCAGACACTGGCCGACCCTGACCAGATTGTTTGGACTTGGTGAAGCTCTATATGAGAATCACCCCAACAGCAGATGGTTTAACACCTTTTGAAATAATTCATGGGAGAGCTTACAGATTGCCTCTGTTTGTTCCTGACTTACAGAACGCAGATGAAGAACAAATTTTGGCAGATTATATGATCAGGATCCTGAAACAGAAAGAGGTGTTAAATGCAAATTTACTGCCGTCTGACTGTCCTCCTCTACAGGAAACCACCCCCATTCAGCCAGGAGATTGGGTCTACATAAAAGTCATCAGAAGAAAGAATTGGGCCAGCCCACGCTGGGAAGGACCATTCCAGGTGCTGATAACCACACCAACAGCTGTAAAGATTGCTGAAAGACCCAGCTGGATACATCTCAGTCACTGCAAGCTGCAGAGAGTGTTGGATCCCTAATCCCGAGTGGGGGGAAGGCTGGCTTCAAAGGGGTTCCTGACCAATAGGGTGGTTCGTCTCAACGCCAGTGAAGAAACTCGACAGATCCTCACTCTTTAGTTTGGGGGTTTTGACATCTCTGCACGCCAAGCAGCAATGGGGACTCTATATGCCAGATGGATCTTCTACTGCGCTGTGACTGCAGCATGTCTGATGTTTGGAAGAGGAAGTGGCCTCACTTTCCACCCACATGACTACAGCACCAACCTGTGGTGGCAGCTGATGAACAGGACTGCTCACGAGGAGAACGAGGTGAACTGCTATGTGTGTGCGCAGCTGCCAATCGCCACACAAAACTCATGTCTGTGCCCAGGGAACATCACTGATGACAAACAGATGTGTCTCTATGGCCTGAACACACAACCACGACTCAGCATCCCCATGCCAAAGGGATGCAAATGGTGCAAAAAGGACTATTCTGTTCTACTTCGGACAGGAGATGCCGCAAAAGGACTTTTTGGATCTATGAACTGTTCATTTAAGGGTGACGTACTTCCGTTTCCACCGTTTCCACAAACCGCATGGAAAATACCAGAGACCATTTCTTTAGCAGGAGCTAAACCTGGATCTCTGAGGAGCTGTGTGTACAACCACGGACACGTTCCTCTTGGGATGTTACCTTGGAACCTGTGTAACAAAGTTTACACCTACTGCAAAACGACACCAGATTACATCAACTGCATCGCCTGCAGGGGTCAGAGGGCGACCCCAGGCAGCAAAGTCTGGAAGGACAACCCAGACTGCGACAACTTGCTTCAGGAGAGGAGTTTCAACATCACACATCAGACAAGAGGACGATAGGAGACAACAGTGTGCAGCGCCATAGTGCCAGGAGACTATGGGTCACGGGTGATGGCAGACTGGTACTTCCTGTGTGGAAATGGAGATTACATGGTCATGCCACGATATTGGGGAGGACTGTGTGCTTTGGTCCCCCTAATCAGCCCGATTGCATTCATCAGGAAAGGACAACACGTTCTGGCTGCCCGCTCCAAGCGTGCAGTTATGCCGGAGGTCAAACGCTGAGGAGGCCTCACTACAGACACTGGAGTTCCTTGGGAATTCAAGATTTGGGGCGGCGGAGAAAGGTTTATGCAAAGCATGTTTCCATGAGTCGGAGTAGGTGAGATTCGAAGTCACGTGGAAATCAACAGATATGGATTACTGCAACTCATCAACAGCACACAGCCAACGGCACCATGAGAGAGCTGATTGAACTGAGAAACATGGTTCTGCAAAACCGTGTTGTAAAATCATTGGCCAGCGTGCTGCACGTTCATCCCTGATGAAACAGGAACTGGTGGAACTATTTCTGACGCTCTCCATGAACTGGAGGAACTTAAACATTATGTGGAAAGTGGAACACAAGGATCATCTCCTTTTGACTTTCTTTCTTGGCTCACTTCCGGACCATGGTGGAATTTACTGTTGAAGCTTGGAACACCTATTCTGGGTGTTTTGATTCTTTTTTGCCTGTTCACAAGTTGCATTTTTCCATGCCTTCGAAGCATGATGCTAAAGACAATTAACACTGCTGTGATCAGCTATCAGCTGGTGAAAATAACCCATGACACAAATGAAGACGACTTGTTTTCTGATTATGAAGTTCTGTAATCAATAAATAGATGAATTCATTTGCTGAATGATTCCTACACCGAAAATGTGAAAACAAGTGGTGTTTGTGATGAAAGACAAATTGCATTTGGTTTTCTACTGTTTCTTTTATAATTCATTTTTAAAGCATGTGTTTGTATTCTTTTATGCAAGAATGTTAAACAGGAGGGAAATGTTAGAATTATGTTTGTTATCATTCTTACATTTGTAATTTTATGTTATTAGTTGTTTTTCTATTTAGAAGTTTAGTGTTCAAATTTGTTGAAACTGGAGACACAATTAAATCTTCCTTAATCTCAAGCATGTTTTTACCGATGGAGACTTAGATCTTCCTGGGATACTCCTGAGCTGTAAACCTATCTGTGTGTTAATTAAATTTCTGTGTCCCCCTTCTTTGTTTCTGAATCCACATCCTACTGTGAAGATAGGATGTGGGGTTTCACCCCCTCCATTCCTTTTCACACCCTTCTTGCTAATGAAAGAGACAAACAAACTGAAGATTTTCAGAACACATGGTGAGTGGCTTGGAGAAGCAGTTCACTGTGTCTTCTCCTTCTGCAGAAGTTTGGTTGAAAACTCATATACGTTGTCTGTGGTTCTTTCTTTTTTATGTAGGTTTGAGAAAATACCTATCACTAACTAAACTGAGCATTCACAGTTTGAATTTGCACAGTTCTGTGCTATGCCATCTGCAGCACGGCACAAATCAAAGGGGAGGAAGGATGAGCAGCACCACATGAGATTGTGATTGACAGCACTAAAACTCTCCTGCCACTGATTGGTTGTTTCTAGAGAACCATGGGAGAAAGCAGAGGAAATAGATTTTTCACAGATTACCTCTCATACCATACTGTCACAACATAATGACAGTTTTAAAAAATATGTGAAAAAAAATATTTATATAAAAGTTACATACTGCAGCTTTAAATTCACTCAGGAGAGGACAGATCAGGAGGGACGTGTTTTAGAGCTTCTGCTCACTCACTCATCTATTAAGTGGTAAAAGGTACAAGGAACAAGTTAAATATATAAATATGTTGATTTTTTTTTTCCTTAATTCATTAAATGCTAGTGGAATGGAGGCAAACGGTAGTTTGTAGCTAAGCTAATTATACTAAATGGTTGATAATCACACAGTCTACCCACCTCTCTTGGAGAAAAACTGGGAAAAACTCTTGCCTTTTTCTCTCTCTCCGTCTCTCTATTTTGTTTCTGAAAACATGATTTTATAACTTTTCTTAGCAGCGTAGTAACTGCCACAGTCGCCGCTGTGTTCAGCTGCAGCTTCTACTGACTATAGCTGCATACATCACTGTTAAGAGCTCCAAACAGGAACGAACCATCTCATGCAGATCCAGGGGGGTTCAGGGCAAAAACTTTTTTTGGTCTTGGAGGGGTAACATTAAACTTTTACTGCTAAAAACAATCTTTGAAAATACAATATGATTAATTTTGTATGTGACAAGACCCTGATTTTTTATTATGTCTATGAACAAAATATAAATAATTAAGTTGTGGAGGGCCCCCTGCTGGTCAGGCCCCCTAAAATCGTCATCACTTTTCACCCCTTTAACGCGCCCCTGATCAGTAACATGTTTTTTGAGGAATACCTGGAATATGAAGTGCTGAAAACTTTTTATTACAAAGATATTGCAAATATGGGTCAAAAAAGATCCAGTTACCCATCACAGCCTCTTCGCTTACAAGGTACAGAAACTAGTTTACAATATTTTTGTTCTGGTTTCTAGGTTAAATCACCAGAGGATTCACAGAGAGTCACTGCAACAAGAACACTGATGAACTGAAAAAAAGTTAATTAAGTTGTCAGTTTATTTAGATTAAATCTGAGAAGTTCATTA